TAGCAACGGCAGCAGCAGCATCCACACAGGGACCGAATAGAATGGGTGAGTGCCCGCGTCCTGCCATTGGCTGTGGCATCGTAGACTTGCAAAATGCGTTCATCTGAGAGAGTCCTGCAGCGAACGAATGAAGGCTGGATGAACGCCTAGGCGGGAGGGATGATGGCAGCGGGCTGAAACGATCTGACAGTTTGATGCGAAACTTGCTGTCCACTTGCGGGATGCTTGTGTGAGTGACGTCGGGGGGCTCAAATAAAGGGATTGAAGGGAACACAACGACTGCAGACAAGCGGGCCCATTGAGAGGTCATCGTCGGCCGTGGAACGGCCAGCCTTGCACGGGTTCCGTTCCTTACAGCCAGCCGTTTGGTAAAGTTGGGGTTTTGGATGGGCGGGTGAGTGCTGATCTTGGGAAAAAAAGAGGCATTTGCGATTCTAGTGCCGTTGACGCGTCCCTCCAGGATCGACGTAGGAATCGTGGTGTTGTTTAATTTCCCCAGCCGAGGGGAAGGTTGAATTTTGCAATCTTGCGACCTTGGACGGCAAGGTCACTTGCTTGAAAAGAGATTTCCGTTTCCCGGTTCTGGTCTCTATTTTCTCGCGTGTGTACCATGGCACATGGCATGCAGCCTCCGTCACCCTCATTAGCCTGGGCCTCTGTTGGATCCCGGGGAAACAAAAGAAGGGTCCCGGAAATATTGAACTGCTGCAACGTCGCACGAATAAGGTTGTGGTGCTATGATCCATTCCCATATGGCCGTTCAAATACGTAGCAGAGAGAAAGCAGAAGGTAGCAATATGCCCGAGGCAATAGACATCCTCAATCGGATACTGGCCGGCAGCTGAAAGCACAGAATGGGCGGGAAGCAATTCAAAAGAAGGTTTCTGTGATGATATTTCGTGCTGCCGATGGGGGCAGCCAATGAAACGCGGGGATGACTACCCAATTCAGGGGCAGTCATGCTGCAAGAGCGGGAAGCGAAATCATTAGAGCCCGCTCGAAGTGGAGGCAAGGAGGGGAAAAGAAGCATGTAGGCGATGTGATATTGAATTGGGGGAGAAGAAAAAAAAAAGAGAGAGAATCCAATCGCTTACATCGCGGATATGAGAGTCAGAGGCGAGACGGCTGTCCGTGTGAGGCCATCGTCATGTGCGACTTGATTTCTTAATATTTTTCCTGGCTCCGTATTCTCTTTTGATTGTTTACATTGTTAAATTGGTCTGGACCGTCGTCCGTGGCATGTGGCTCCGTTTTGTTTTGGCATTGTTCCGTTGTTCATGGAGACGAGATGCCGGCGACAGGCAACGGTGGTCGGCCGACGGGGGGAGACGTTGACGTTCCACGTTCCAAAGGTGGCCCTTCCCCGTCGACAATAACCGACGACGATCAAGACGACACATCGCCATGTCTCGAGGTTGAATCGAATGGCTCCGTAGGCTCCGTAGCGGCTCCGTAATTCTGGGGCAGACTGCAGAAAACGGTTTGGCGGGCAGGGAAAACCGTCGCGGACACGAATGATGAAGGGACTCTCGCTGGACTTTTGGGAGTGACGGCGCAAATCATCGCTGTGAGCGGGAGTCTGAGCCTGGACCTCCTGGACGCCAGGATGAGAGAGGAGCTGAGGATCTACATAGCTCACTGGCCGTGACTCCTCAGCAACCGGGGCGGAATATTTGTGCATAATGGCGACTGTCTTTGCTTGTGTTGCACCAGGTGCTGATCGCTCGATGGCCGGTCCAGATTTCTGGCGCAGCGTGTTCTAGGCTGCTTTCTCGCCCCGTGTTAGTGCTGTTGTCTTGTTGCTAAAGTTAGGTCTTTTGGCCATCCGCTAAGGATTTGGGTGTGCTGGGGAAAGCGGGAAGCATTGGACCTCACTCAGGTACGGGCAGGCACAGCACAGGCACAGGCCCAGGGGCCTTACTAAGGTCGGTGAGGTGAGGTAGGCATGGCGTCAAGGAAGACGAGGCAGAGGAACCAGAAGATGTAGAGACCAGAAATGATATCAAGACATTTCTGAGACGGGCAATGATGAACATTGCATTTGGGGCCGACGAGGAGGCAGCTGCAGCCTGCGTTCCTTCGTTTTTTCCCTTCCTTCTCTACCTAGGTACTTTACGGCAGCGCTCAGGGCAAATCACATCGAGCAGGGCAAGGCAGGTGCTATTCTCGGTGACGAGGGCCCGTTGTTGCCGCAGAGTGTCCGGGGCGAATAAAGGAAGGAAGCGGGACAGGAGACGGCCAAGACCGAACTGCCACTGGAAGACGGCCGAGAGAAGGCCTGCCTGCTGGTTGAGGGAGCCAACTTTCGCTGTTTGGGATCCGGTCAGGTGTTTTGGATGTTGGTTGGCAATTCAGACGGGAAAAGAGCAGCAATCCTCTGGCTCCTTTGAGGCAGTACACTCATCAGTAAGGTAACTAACTCTCTGCAGACCCGACTGCTGCGACAGACAGGATCCCGCTCATCATACACAGGTGCGAAGAGGGACGCTCTGCATCCGGTCCAAGAGTGATGCGAGTTTCCCTTCCCACCTATCTAGATACCTACCGTCAGCTCGTGTCAAAGAGCCGGGCCACCTGACGTGCTTCATACCCACCGCATCTTACATCACCACTCGCCGCGGTGGTGTTGAGGCACGGATGGCGATCGTTTGAATCGCAAGCTAGGCATCTCAACCTGAAGTTGACCGGTCTGCAGCCCATGCCCATGCCACCCATACCTCACGGCCAGGAATATGGCCAACAACCAACATCCAACTCGGACCTGACGGGCGACTCGTGTTGAAGGCCGAGCATTGGATGACCATGATTGCCACCGACCAGAAAAGGCCAAGCCACATAGCTCATGTGGTGGTGTGGGCGACGACGGTCCAGACGACAAACGGATTGTGGCTCCGTACCAAAAATCTAGACGGTGTTTTAGCACCCGGCCACGGTGCTGCTACGGGCGACGCATTGGCATTGATGAACAAGGTGACAGCGACAGAGAAGAATTGGAGACGCGCCGTTTCCACTGCGAAGGGGCTCACGCTTCAGACCAGCCAGTCCAGGGTCGATGATGGGACGGGAAAAGAAGGCGAAGACGAAGAAGAAAAAAGGGGAAATTGGGGCTTGATGTTAGTGCATCGTGTCGCCATGCAATGCCTGCACCCCGGATTGCATACACATTTTAGCACCGTCTGGTCTGTTTTTTTTTCTCTGTCTCTCTCTCTCTCTTCGCCTGCCCTTTCCCTGGATGGCTTGGGTTAGCTTCCGTTTCGCAGACTGCCCACACCTGCATTGTGTTCACTGGCCTCGCAGGATGAACTGTTGCGGACCTGCAGCTGGCGCCCTGCTGTGCTCCATGGGCGTTATTGGAGAATGTCCCGTCTGCTCGTAATAAGAGACTCTGGGCCCCCATCTCCGTCCCCTTCCCTCCCCCTCTCCACTGGATGATGATGCCCTGGACCTGAATGCAGTGACGGTTCAGTCTGAGTCTGCAAGGGAACCACACCCCCAGCAACCCCCTGCTTCTGTAGCCGCATGGGGCCCTGGACGACGTCGTGACTACATGTCGTGCTAACCTGGAACTCATCCCTTGTGGTCTAGCGCTGTTGTGTGCTGTGTTGTGTTCTGTCAAATCTGTACGGGAGGTGCCCGTGCTAAGGTCCCCTTTAGCGTGCGGTGGTGCTAAGCCCAACGCAGTCTGTTCGCTCCGTCTCCACGATTGGACCACTCCCAAATCGACCTGCTGACAAGTCAGTCGCTGCAACCTCCTGCACCTTCCTGCACCTCCTGCTGCTGGTTTGCCTTCACCTAGAAGGCGGTACGTACCTTTTGGTTCTATTTTGCTACCTCCCCCGGGCTGAGGAGGAGGTCGTTTCCCAGGCCAGGTCCCTCTACCGTAGTACGCCCCCCCCCAGGCCCCTACCTCACCTCTCTGCGACCTGGTTCTCTCTCAAAGGTACCTCCCCAGTTACCACTAAAACGGTGCGTGTCCGTACCTACCTTACCGTTCGCACCTTCGTCCGCCTCCTCGTATCCGATTCTCTGGGGGAGACAGAGATCGCTTCCATCTCTTTTGATCCTCACCTTCTCTTTTCCTTCCTTTTCCTTTCCTTTTCGACCTTTCCCCCCTCCCTCGTGCCCGTGTGCCCCAAATCTGCCTTTTGCGACAGATCAATGCCAGGCTTCGTCGAGAAATCGTCCCGCTCCTTCTCGGCGTGAGACCTCACACACCACCAACACGAAAAAAGTCAAAGTTGGCTCAAAACTGGCTTTGCCGTCCAAGGAACGACTTTCCTCCTTCAGAGCATCCCATTATCTGTTTCCCTTGAAACGTCCAAACGACCACCTTCCATTCGAACGCTCTTTTCGTCCCGACTTCCCACCCGCACTTGCACTTGGCTGCTGCGCCTTCCTCCTCCGCAGCCCACCACGCAGCCAGCACTGACGGACAAGCCCAGACGGGATCAATCAAACTGCAGGAAACTAAAAACGCACACGCGCCCTTTCACTAGCGGCCTGCCTATCCTGCTTCCGTTCTGGCCTCTCTGCCTTTTACATCTGCGCCTGCCTCTAAACAAGGTATTCATCCTGTTTACTTCCGCAGCTTCAAGTCGACGACGACATTCGTTACCTGATCTTCGAATCCGACTTCCTTTGCACGTCGATCATCACCGCTGTACCAAACTTCAACCTTCCCGGCCCGCTACTGCGACCTTTGGCCTGACCTCATCTTTCATGCGCCGCCCGTAGCATTCCCGTCAGCCACACCACCATCTGGCCAACGACCTGTTATTCGACCTCCATGCCGGAATCCTCTTCCAGTCTAGACTGACGCCATACTCGATCCTTCCCCCGAGACAAGACTTGCACCGCCAGGATTCCAACCACCAACCTCTCCCAGCGAACCCCCCGATCTGGCGTCGACTTCCTCAAATCAATCCACCACCAGCTGTATAGCAACCACATCGCCTTGCATGGCGTCTTCAGAGCAGGAAGCGACGCAAACCCGACCGACCATGTCGCCTCAACGCCCCAACTTCATCGACCTTCGGGCGCCATCCAGTATGTCGAACGTATCGAGACCGCTGCGATCCCCGAGACTTCACGTTGCAGGTGAGGCGCCTCCCGAATTGTCGCCTCTCGATGCCTTCGCCCTCCAGAGTCGCCTTTTGGCGAGGCAGCTCCAAGCTGCGGCCAACGGCGACGGACGACGAATGAGCCGACTCCCGCCTTTGACGACCGAGAGCCCTCTGGTTGTCCAAGGCCGATCTGACTACTTCCGCTCCATGTCCAACGACTCTGGCTCCGATGAAGTGGCGCTTCCCGAGCTTCAGAACCCTGGGTTTGGCATGAGAACCGAGATGGAGGACGCTTTCCCCTCAGAGAAGGACCGCCCGAGATCAGTGCATCCACGAATGAGCCGAATCCCGCCTACTCCCGACGAGAACGTCCCCCTTCCTCCCCAGCCTCAGCTTGACACGATCCGTGGACGTCCTATGGAATCTGTAGGAGAGGACCACGATGAGACAACCTTCGGCGCCAGGAGAGAACAGTCACCAGCGCCTATGGAGCATCCGATCAGCGACTCCCTCCTTCATGCCTCACCACCAGCAGTACCTATGCGTTCTCCAGCACGCTCCCGCGATAACTCACTTGGGACATCTCCTGAGAAGTCAAAGGCTCATTCTTTCGATGGTCCCGGTTTGGCCCCCCCAAGACCCAACTTCATTGCACGATCAGCCAGCTCCATGTCCTCGCCTCTCGACAACGCTACCGACGACACCTCAATGAGCAACTCCATTCAGTCTCTTCCTCCACGCAAGCTGTCGAGTGGCAGCGCTTTCGCATCGGCCGCGTCCCCGAACCTTAACCCTGGACCTTTCCAACGTTCCCCATCCGTCAGCTCGGAAGCTTCTATGCCACTGCCGCGACCTTCTTTCAACTTCTCAAGGCCGATGAGTCGCGCAGGCACTCCTGGACTGGAAACACCAACGCGCCAAGCCTCATCAGACAGCCAGCCATCCTTTGTATTTGCAAATGACGATTCAGCCAACACTCCTGTCAGCATGAACAGTGAAGGTTTCCCGGATCCCATGCATGACGACGGAAAGGCGGCCCCCTCATACATCTATTCTAAGTATTCACTTCCTAGAGGCAAGATGATTCAACGGTCGGTTCCTCTCGATCCTCACCCACAGGCCTCTTTCCAGTGGGAACAGCCCATGACTCAGCCCAGCAACGTCTCGACGATCGCTCATGGAGCGCCTCCCTCACCTCCGACACGGCCGTCCAGCTCTGCTGAGGCAGGTGCTCCTGGCGATCTCAACTTGACGAAGAATGGCATGAACCGTGGTGGTCCTGCGCCGCAGCCGTCCCCCAACCCGAGTCGCCCATCTACCGAGAGCCGACCATCAGAAGATGACCCGAGAGGCCGCGCTCTCACATCTCCTGTCCACGATGCTGCCCGTGGTCAGACTGCCATGTCTATGGCAACCACCGATTCCAGCAGTACTATTAAGGGCGCTCGATCTCTGGCTTCGGGTGCACCTACCACTTCGGAAATGACAGCCGAAGAGCACCTAGCCAAGGGTATCGAGTGCCACGAGAATGGCTCCGTCAAGGAGTCTACTTATCATCTTCGCCATGCTGCCAAGGGCGGAAACGCTACTGGCATGCTTCTATATGCGCTGGCTTGCCGCCACGGCTGGGGCATGCGGCCCAACCAGCGTGAGGGTGTTGAGTGGTTGAGAAAGGCAGCTGAGGGTGCCAGTGTTGAAATTGCTGATGACGAAGACCACGTCAAGGAGGGCAAGTTTGTGGATGCCACAGAGAGGAGGACGCGTAAGGCACAATTCGCACTCAGCATCTATGAGCTCGGTGTGAGCCACATGAATGGATGGGGTATTGAGCAGGATAAGGCTCTTGCCCTGCGTTGCTTTGAGATCGCTGGATGTAAGTTGCCAAAGGATTCCTTCTCTAAGACCTCTCACTGACAGAACACTAGCTTGGGGTGATGTTGATGCATTGGCTGAGGCAGGATTCTGCTACGCCCAAGGCATCGGATGCAAGAAGAACCTTAAGAAGGCCGCTGGTTTCTACAGACAAGCTGAAGCCAAGGGAATGAACATGGTCGGCAACAGCTGGTACGTATTGCCTCACAATGAAAGCACCCAGGAAGCCGCAGTGCTGACATGAAACCTCGCAGGATCCACAAGTCAAAGTACAATGACGATGACAGCAACGGAAAGAAGTCCCGCAGCAAGTCCAGGACGCGCACCATGTTTGGCATCAAGACTGGCTAGCTACGAGTCTTTTAGGAGTTCTTTCTGCGCGCGCATGGCTTCTGGCGGCATTTCACGGATCATGACCACTGCATCACCACATCACCTTCATACCCCGCATCTTCGGAGTTTTGGGAAGCTGGCTCTACGGAGTGCAGCTGTTTTTTCTGGGCATTTCAAATTCATGGATGGGAATTGTGCCATTTTCTGCATTCAGCAAGGTACGCTACACGGGAGCAGGGGGAGGACGAGGTTGTCCTAATACCCATACAACAATGGACCAGCCCTCTGCTCCGTGCCACGGAAGGTGGAAAAAGTGAGGGATCGTTTAGCGTGTACAGACCTTGATTGAACATACCCTTGGTTCCTATGTATATACCACATTTGCTTTGAGGGGAGGGCCATAGAATCCTCAGAAGTTTTCCTTTGTTACACAGAAAGGGCTTTGCCTGCATAATGGCAGTCGCAAGGCGATTGGGAAAAAGCCTTCCACAACTGATTCCTGGATCTACACCTTGGTGCCACATGCCTCCACACTGATGTCTTGGTGATTGCTGGCATCAGACTGCTTTACTACGATTGTTGGTTGCTACAGTGGCCATACCCGAGTCAACTTAATCACTCAACAACCTGCGTTTTTGGCTTCATCAGTGTCAATGTCTTCTATTGCCATTGTCCATTGTGTTGGTACATCAACTCCTCGTCTAGGGAGCATTTTCATTAGCCAGCCTCTCGCAAGCCCGTATCCTCATAAACCCGTCAGCCCGCTCATGCATCAACCTCCATCGCCTCGCCAGCCGGCACCTCCGTTACGCTCACGTAACGGCCAATCTCGTTCTTCTTGATAATCTTCTCGTTGAGGACGGCGGTCGTGCCCTGCTTGAAGGCGTAGCTCTTGAGCTTGGCGGTACGCTCGTTGGGCTTGACGAAGCCGCGCTTGAGCGTGGTCTTGTCCTTTGTGATGACCGCGACGTCGACGTTGCTTCCGGAACCCAGATCGTTGAAGATACCGGCCTGAATGGCATCGCTGGCGAGCTTAACAGCCTCCTCCTCGTTCAGCTGGGGCTTCCACTGGGTCTCAAAGACGGACATGGCGGCGAGGGAGCCGGAGCCCATGGTGACGTAGGGGAGCTTGTCGGTGGAGCCGTGGGCGTGGACGGTGAACAGGTGGGTTCCCGTGGGGTCGACGCCGGCGACGACGAGGTAGGCGCCGATGTGGCCCTGGTACTGGAAGAGGTGCTGCTTGAGCATGGTCATGCAGGTGACGACGCGGGGCTTGCGGCCTGTCGAGAGGGCGTGGAGCTCGAGGTTGGAGGAGATGATTGCGGTGGTGAACTCGGTATCGGCAGCGGTTCCGGCACCCGCGCACCAGATCTGGGGGGCGATGTAATGCAACTTTTCACAGTTCTTGTCCGCTACGATGGGACCCGACGTCGCTCTTGTATCGGCCGCAATCTGAATGGATAGTTAGTACGAGCTTGTGGTACGAAAGGGCGGTACGCGGGGGCGAGTCCAATGACTGGATCCATGCTAGTAGCTGATGGAGAGGAATCTAGTGTTTGGGAATACTAACCACTACTCCGCCGTCGAATATGCATCCCACGATAGTGGTACCTGTGCTAGTCGCCTTGGGCAGGGGGACACCTCGGGCGTGGAGGGCCGCATTGCGGTTGTAGTTGGAGAAGTCGAAGCCAGGCATGGTTGCTGACTTGGCTGGCTAGACCCGGACGCTGTGATTGTTCTTTCTCGGTCGTCGGGTTTGTGGGAAACTTCGTGATCGCTCGGTCGTGGTGGATGGTATGAGGTTGGCAGAGGTTCCGCTGGGCGTGGAGATGTTGAGGGACGTGGTGAAGGCAGGAGCTGATGACGAGGCTAAAAGCTGCCTTCAATGGTGTCGCCCGCTGTTTGGGGAGAGCTCATGCAGCGGGAGGCACCCTGACACCGACAGATGCCAGTGCTGATTGGCCAGGGACGCCCCATGAAGCTGCCTAAGCTTCACGTGATCTTCCTAATCGATGCGACCGGGGTGACGGACGGGCCCAGTAGCAAGCAGGAGCTCCATACGAATTTTTGGGAGCAGCAGCAGTCTGTCTTGTCTCCAGAGACCAGGCAATCAGACGGTGCAACATCTAGAAGGCATCACCCTTCTGCCTTCAGGCCAATTCTTTCGCGTTTTAACGTGTGAAACTAAACCAATCTCCTTTTTATCGGCATTTTGGCGCTCAGCAGTCTTTTCTAGAGTCGACAACGTCCCTGCGCAATACTCACTGGTTGCGACTGTAGCAACCACACCCAGCTGCTTGCGACGAACGGGGGAAAAAAAAAAGAAAAAACTTCCCGTATATCAACAACGCGGCCCCTCCAACGAATGCAAAGAACCACCCCCAGCTGACCCAACAAGTCCCTCCTCCAACGAGCCGGTTGTTCAGCATTCCACCATGGCTTTCGGCTTCTCGAACCAAGGCAACGTCATGCTTGGAAGCACGGCTGGAGGCGGAGGACTGAATCAAGGCCCCGAGCTGGAGGTGATCCAGACCGAGGTGAGATCTGGTCACCGACACCGTCGATGCCGTTGTCTATCACACGTTCAAAGCTCACCAACTAAAACTATTGTCCAGGCGCTTGGTTTCAAATCGATTGCCGGAGACGCGAAGCTCCGGCTGACGTCCGCATGGTCCCCTGCACCCGCCGACACGGCCTCCCTCCTCAGCATCGCTCCCCGCCGGGGACTCGTCGCCGCCGCCGGCCCCGATGGGATCACGATCGCCTCGACCGAATCTGTGCGCAAAGGTTTCGAAGCCGATTCTAAGGAGAGCGACAGCTCCGATGTCCGCGCCTTCCAGCCCCAGGTCAAGCTGCCTATGCCCATGAGGGTGTCGCAGCTCGCTTTCAGCGCCGACGAGAACTACCTGATTCTGTCTGCCGAAAGTGGCGGCGGTCTGGCCGTCTATGAGACCCAGAGCCTGCTTAACGGCGGTACTCAGGCGGCCTTCGAGCTTGCAACGAACGGGGAGACACTGAGGGCGCTGGTACCGAACCCTACGATCGAGAAGGCAGAACTGGTTGCCATTGTGACGAATAACGGGAACTTGCACATGGCGAACTTGAAGGATAGGAATATCAGCAATGTTCTGAAGGCGCAGGTCAGCTGCTTAAGCTGGAGTACCAAAGGAAAGCAGCTTGTCGCAGGCTTGGCGGATGGTACTATCTTTCAAATGACCCCCGAGGGCGAGGAAAAGGGGCAGATCCCACGACCGCCCGGCGTAGAGAACGCTCACGGTAGGTTTTTGTGATGCGAATTTCGTTGGGAACGCGAACTGATCATCTCCATTCAGTGTCTTCTCTGAGTTGGCTGGAAAATCACCTCTTCCTGGCCATTCATACCTCAACAAAAGAATCTCCCCCAACATCAGTATACCACATAATCACCAGAAAGCTCCCATCAGACTTCACATTTCAGAAGCTCACAGACCCCGTCGACCCCTTTGGCGCAGAGAACACTCCTCATCACTCAATATTACGACTGAAAGACTTCCCTCCTAACCTTACGGATCTGTTGATTGTCGCGTCCACAGCATCCCCTGATATCGGCCTTCTCAGCAGATCAAAGACGCCGCTGTCTCCGGATAAGCCAGCAGACAGTATCTCCAATGTTTTCACAACAACAGAGCTTCTCGACGACTCCAAGCGTGCGTCTCTCCCTATGACGGAAGACTTCCAGAACACAGTCCCGATTGGCGTTGCTCTCGACTTGTCGAGCAAAGAGAAGGTCTACAAGCCTCTGCCTGCGGACGAGGAGCTTGAGGACTCACCGGGCCCACTGCCCGGCTTCTGGGTCTTGAATCATGAGGGTGTTCTGAGCTCATGGTGGATCGTGTACGAGGACTCCATCAGAGGAGGCACAACTTACCCTGGCATGGCTGTGCTTGACACGTCTGCTCCAGCGCCTGCTCCTACACCCGCGGCGCCTGCAGCAGCTCCAGCAGCTCCATCAGCTGCGTCACCTTTCGGTGCACCCTCTCAGCCATCAGCGTTCGGCTCTTCTGCGAGCTCGACGCCGGCATTCGGTGCCCCCTCTGCTTTGGGCGGTGGCCAAAAACCGGCAAACCCTTTCGGCAGCGGCGGATCCACCCCTGCGTTTGGCGGCAGCTCTGCGCTAGGAGCCAAGAGTTCACCATGGGGCACATCAAATGCCTTGGGTTCTGCGACCGGCGCATCGGCAACAGGATCAACGTTTGGAAGCACCGCGTTTGGTGGCAACACATCTGCTGCTTCGCCTTTCGGCCAAACTTCCACTCCTAAGTCGGCGTTCGGGAGCGGCGGTGCATTCGGCAGTGGCAGCGCCTTGGGCAGTACTCCTGCTGCGGCTACCTCTAGCCCAGCTTTTGGTCAGCCTTCATCTTTTGGACAGTCCTCGTCTCTCGGTGGAAACAAGACTCCTGCTGCCGCTACCTCTAGCCCAGCTTTCGGTCAGCCTTCATCTTTCGGGCAGTCCTCGGCCCTTGGTGGAAATAAGTCTCCCTGGGCAGCTGCAGGTTCAAGCTCAGCCACTACAGGGTCGACATTCGGACAGCCTAGCACCTTCGGCTCTGGAAACAAGAGTGTCTTTGGTAGCGGCTCGACACCGACAGCCGCGGCTACTCCTTCGTCAGGGGGTGGTTTCGCAGGGTTTGCATCGTCTGGCGGCTTTGGTTCGCTTGGTAACAAGAACGCCAACGAAGGCGGCAGCGTGTTTGGAAGCAAACCCTCCTCAAGCCCTTTTGGTTCGGGCCAGTCCCCTTTCTCATCCACCAAAGATACTGCGTTTCCACCGCCCAGCCAGAAGCCCAGCAGTGGTGCTGGAGTCAATCCTTTCGCCGGTCAGCCCTTCAAGTTGGAAAGCAGTTTCAAGCCCGATCCTTCTGCAAAGGACGATGACGATGACGATGACGAAAAGCCTGCTACCAGTGGCGGATCCTCGTTCTTCGGCGGCGGCTTCAGCTCGGCCCTTGGAGATGCTAAGAAGCAGACAACGCCTACTA